AGTTTGGAGCTGAAACAGCTGAGCGAAAAGAGAAAGAAAAAGTATCTGGTTGATCCTCTTTCCATTAGCTCAGAGGGCAACAAAAGTCTCCAGGTCAGATTTCCCTCTCGGGGACTCAGTGCCAAGGAGAGAGGAGCGGCTGGGGGGGCGTGGGAAGCATCGTCCCCAGCCCCTGCGCTGTGCATTTTCAGGTAAAATAAGAAAAAAAGAGGATGCATCTAGCCCTCAAGGCAGCAGAGAGTGGTTTTAGAGTGTGACGCCCGCCCTGAGCTCCAAAGGCCAGGGAGAGAAGCCAACATGGAGAATCCCACCGGCACGCAGAGCACCTCTCACCGTGTCCTCAGCGTGCCACGCTGCTGCGCTAATCTCAGCTGTTTCATAATTAACAGGGCTAAACGCTAGATGGAAATACCAGCCTCTCTATTAGCTCTGCACAGAGCCGTTTAAAAATCACTTTGGATGGGACCAATTTGCAGCCACCTGGACGAGCCCTTGTAAATGCCTGGTGCTGGGCTGCCCAGGATCCTATCCGACCCCACGCTGGGTGTCCCACCCCACTGGCACAGAGCTCTTGCCAGTCCCTTTCTCTCTCCCTCAAATCCTGCTCTGGGAATTGGACGAGGGCTTTCACCTCCCCGCGAGAGGAGCATCAGCCCCAGCAGCCTCTGGACCCAACTTGCTCCCGGGCAGGGGCTGCCATCCGCCACCCTGCACAGCCGGTGCCACCAGTGCTGCCCCGAGGCACGGTCTCCTCCCAACAGCATTTTGGGGTGCTCTGCACCCAGTCCTGTCCCAGCCTGCCCGCCGCATGGGCTCGTGCCCCCCAGCTGCCCAAGGATGCCCCCGTGGCACAGCCCTACCTTATCGGCCAGGCACTCGGTGTCCTCGGTGAGCAGGTAGACGGTCCCGCTCTCGGCCAGGAGGATGGCAGTGTCAGGGGGGGAGGAGGACCTGGGGCGGCCCTGTGTTGGTGCGCCCCCCATCTCGTCGTGGCCCGCCCGCCTGCCGCTGTGCAGGCTGGTGCCGCGCTTGATGGAAGGGCGAGAGCGGATCTGCTGCAGCACCCGGTTGAAGGCGGTGGGACGCGCCGGGAGGTCGTGCAGGGACATGGCGTAGGAGACGCGGTGCATCTCCGGGGACCGCTCCTTCTCGTCGGGGGAGTCGTGGTCAGACATGCCGTAGTGCGGCGGGAGCGGGGCCTGCGCGTTCTCGGGCTCCCGCTCGCGTGACCGCCGGCGGCTGTGGAAAAGGTGCTTCAGGCCATGGCCAAACATGGACCCTTCGGACAGCTGCTGGATTTTCTGCAGGGGAGGAGAGAAAACAATCCCTGTTACTGTTAGGAAGGGACGGCATCGCCCCACTTCAGCATGCACAGCTCTGACGGTGCCCATGCTAACACCGAACCAAAGGGATGAAAGAGCTCTGGAGGGCTCTGGGGACCCCACACCAACCCAAAGGGATCTGCAGAAGGGAACAAGCCTTGTGGCCAGCACTGCATTTTATACCCATGGAAAAGTATTAAACATTAGTGGCCATCAACCCTTGCCATTCTGTGATTCTGTGATCTGATGGCACGCAGGGCTGAGCACAGTGGCTTGGGACGGCTCAGGTGTGCAGCTCCAACAGCATTACCCACGCCAGGAGAAGGTCTCCAATGGTCCTGGCTACCCCTGAAAGCAGCAAGAGGAGCAGAAAGGTCCTTCAGAGCAAATGGAGGGAGGAGAGTGCCCGCTGCAGCCGATGCCACGCGCTGCGCAGAGACCCCGACTCTGCCGGCAGCGGGGACAGAGCAGCTTTTTCCTTAGCTAGAAAAGCCACGGTTACTCCCAGCCTTGCAGTCTCAGCCACCGACGTGCTGCCAGGAGCCACGTGCTCTCCAAAATGTGCTCCAGGAAGGATCGGGGAATGCTTTTGCCCAGGGGATTTTCCATGGCCTCCAAGCACAGCACATACCAGGCTGGCCTCACTTATGGGGGTGAAATTGCAACTCGTGGCCCAGTGCCACCAAATCCAGTCCTCGCTGGGCAGCAACTGGTTTCCAGCAGGAGATGGGGGCATGTCGCTCCCCTGGTTACCCCTGGATCTTCCTCTCCCAGGGGGCTGAGGCTCACGTTCCCACAGAGCACATGGCTTCTCTCGTGCTGGCTCCTGGGAATTGGGGTGGATGCTAGCCACGGCAAAGTCATGCAATATGGATGGTGGAACAGATCGTGCTCCTGATTATGGCTGGGTTAGCCCGGAATGATTTCCTCGCAGACACTGGAATGCCCAGATTTGCATCCATGGGAGATTTTGGCTGGGTGCCCTCTGCAATCCCCTGCACGTGGCCGACCAGGGGCAGCGGTATGGGCAGCAGCTTCCAGCATCTGCAAAGAGTTCAGCAGATCTGAGATCCATCACAGCTCCCAGAGAGCGAGTAAATGATCTTGGGATGTTGAAAGATCCTCTCGCCTTCCAAAGCAGCCTCAGCTACCAGGAACCCAGCAGACCACAAGGCACAAGCCTGCCCCATTGCTCTCTGTCTCGATTTTGGAGTTAAGCCGAGCACCCTACCTTTGAGGACGCCAGTCCTGACCCTGCTGACGTTCAGGGGCATTTCACCGCTGATTTACTGCAGCTGGCCCTCTCCCCAGGGATGCTGGTTCCCATAACTGCAGCGCTGCCATTTACTCATGCTTGCAAACCAGCGTGAAGCAGGCTCCGTACAGGGACACTTGGCAAAAGCCCTGGCTTTTGGAAAAGCAGTGATGTTTGAGACATGACCTCCAGGAGCTGCAGACTGTGGAGGATTTCATGGCCACACGGAAAGGGCTCCGTCTCCTAAACACTCCAGGCGTTAAAGCCACAAGGTCCAAATCCATAAGGGCCTAATTCTCATTGCGCCTGTAATATTGGCAAGGAATCCGCAGTTAGATCCTGTGTCACTAAACACTCCAGGCAAACCCTTGAATCCTTCTGTTATCCATGCATAATGAAAATTTCCATCCTTTTGGTTTTCCCTAGGAAATATATAATAAAACTATGGTGCTGAGTTGCTACTTCAGGAAATAGTGATTTAAATTTTATTCTATTTATAGGGTCTCTATGGAAACAGAGACAGCATTAGATAGGTAATAACTATAAACCCACAGATTTCTACCATCAAGGGTATGGCATACCCTCGGATGCACAGTCAGCCCTTTAGAAGGTCCAGGTGAAAAGAAACGACCAACTGCCTCCATTGAAGACAAAATAAAAGCAAAGCCGGCAATAAAGGAGAGGACATTTTCCCAGCAGCAGCGTGGAGGTGGAAGCCAGCTGCCCGCCGGGGGTTCCTGGCCCAACAGCTCGATCTGATAGGAATTCACCTTTTAAAAGAAACTCTTCTCAGGCCGTTTCTAAGTTTTCCTTACAGAACCTTTCCTGGGCTCTGCAGGTGGGGCTCCCGGCAGGATGGTAAGAGATCTGCATGGGAAAAAGGGGAAGGAGAGCAAAAAGAGGAATCCTAGCCCTGCTGTCCTGGGCTTGAACCCCCACGGCTTGTCTACATTAAAGAGTGGTTGGGAGTGGGGACCATGAAGATGCCAACGATTATTGCAGAGAATCTGCTGATGTAAAACCGCTGTTTTCTTATGTTACTCCGGGATATGACTGCAATTCCAAAGCAGAGGCATTTTTTCTGGCACGAAACTACTCGTGGCTCAGAACACAGTGTCTGCACGGGCTATTTTGGAACAGCCGTTGCCTAATAACTGATGCAATGGATACGGAGATTAATTTCTCAGTGCAGACAGCTGTAAACCACTAAGATTAATACCAAAATATCTCTATTTCTTCTGCCTTTTTCATTCATGCAGCCAGGGTCTCCTGCTCAGCAGTGGGGACTTGTTTCTGTGGACTTCAGAGGAGCATCTCCTGCTTCACGTCCCCCATAAGCAGCTCAGTTCTTGCCAGCTGCGGCAGGATCAAGCCCAAGGCACACGGTTTGGCTGAGCACGGCTCTGGGCTGAGCACGGTCACACTCTCTGCCTCCTTCTTACGTATTTATCCACTGATGGAAACTAATGGCTAAAATGTGAGAAGCTAGGAGGGGGCTGGACGAACACCCCCCACCTTGTACCCATCCTACTGCCCTGCCCACACTGACAGCGGAGTCCTGGCCCTATGGGGACACTGTGGTGACAAGCCACACCTGGCCAAGAGCCAAAAAGACCTCATTTTAACCCAAACAAACATATTTTGCAGGAGGACAGTGACTCGGATGACTGTTTTGTCTGGGATGCTGCCCTTTGGTGATGTCCCATGGCAGAGCCAGGTCCTGCGCTTGCCTGCTATAGCAGGGATGCGCATCCCTCCCTGCCTCTCGGGCTCTGCCAGGCTCTCCAGGGCCGCGTTCCTCCCGCTGCCAAATGGCCACACAGCCTGAAACCTCCCAGTTTCTCGCTAAATGGTTTTCCAGCCCTGCCCCGACATCCAAACCCCTTACTCGGCTTTCAGACGCATAAGGAGGGGATCTTGTTGCCATGACCTTGCAGCACAGCCACATGCTGCAAAGTCCCACTCAATTATTATTGTTATGAATTATTTATATCCCTGGCCTGCCCAGAGGCTCCAACCAAGACTCTGCAGCCCTTTGGAGGCATGGCACAGACACAGTAGAAGACTATCCCATCCCATCCCGTCCCGTCCCGCCACATCCTCACCCCGTCCTGTTCTGTCCCGTCCCATCCCATCCCATCCCATCCCATCCTGTTCTATCCCGTCCCATCCCATCCCGTCCTGTTCCATCCCGTCCCATCCCATCCTGTTCTGTCCCGTCCCATCCCATCCCATCCTGTTCCATCCCGACCCATCCCGTCCCGTCCCGTTCCATCCCGTCCCATCCTGTCCCGTTCCATCCCGTCCCATCCCGTCCTGTTCTGTCCCGTCCCATCCCATTCCATCCCATCCCATCCCAGCCCAGCCCAGCCCATCCCATCCCAGCCCATCCTGTTCTGTCCCGTCCCGTCCCATCCCATCCCATCCCATCCCATTCCATCCCATCCCATCCCATCCCGTTCCATCCTGTCCCATCCCGTCCTGTTCTGTCCCGTCCCATCCCATTCCATCCCATCCCAGCCCATCCCATCCCAGCCCATCCTGTTCCATCCCGTCCCATCCCATCCCATCCCATCCCATTCCATCCCATCCCATCCCATCCCGTTCCATCCTGTCCCATCCCGTCCTGTTCTGTCCCGTCCCATCCCATTCCATCCCATCCCAGCCCATCCCATCCCAGCCCATCCTGTTCTGTCCCGTCCCGTCCCATCCCATCCCATCCCATCCCATCCCATCCCATCCCACCCCATCCCACAGCACTCTGTATTTTGAGGTGTGGGGGGAGCCATTCCCCAGTGGGCAGAGACAGGGAATGAGCCACTGAGCACCGCGCAGCCCTGCAAATGGCAGCAGGACCCCGGGAGGTCAGGGCAGCCCCTGCTCACCCCCACACAGGGTTTCTAGTCCTCCTGCTGCTTTCTCCAGCTGATCCTCCTCTGGGTCCCCAGCACGGGGGTCCTACCACCATCCTGCACCCCATTGCCAGCTGTCAGGCTGGGGCAGAGTTGTCCCCGTGGGGTAGCAGCCAGCCCAGCTGCCCCTCGCATCCCTATCTCACGCCAGCATCCTGAGCACCGGTTCTGCCGCTCCTCCTGCTGCCACAAATGCCAAGGAAAACGTATAGATGTTCTAAAATGGAAAATAAAGCACTCCCCCACACACACTTCTCCTCCCGGGGACAGGATGAGAGAACAAACATGTGACAAACGTTAGTCATGTTGTTTAATGCACTACCAAAGCGCTATAGTGACACGCAGCTCCTTAAACGCTCTCCAGAATAACATCTGCGGGGCTGGCACCGACTGCCCCGGTGTGGCTCCGGCCGAGGGGGCTGTGGACCCCCGCGAGCTCCCAACCTTGGGTGGCATTTGCAGGGTGAGATCTCTGCTGCCGGGGCTGAGAGGAGCCAGATGTGCTCCCGGAGGGGAATAACACAGCGAGTGGCAGCCCACGACTGCTTCTCCCACGGCTGTCACCTCTGCGTCTCCTGAGCTGACTGCGGGGATGGATGCTGAGCGCTGACATTTGGTGGGAAGCAAGGATGGGGACCCGGGGGGGTCAGATCTGGGGGGGCAGCGGGGCATGGAGTGCTTGGCCTCAGCCAGGTGGCCCACACCAACATGAGCGTGTGTCTGCTGGGACGCACCGTGCAGCTCCCGGGAGGGCAGCGCGCCCCAGCACCGCTCTCAGACCTCCACGGCGCCTGGCACAAACCCCGGGGAAA